ATAAGTTATTTTTAATAATTAAATTAATAAAATATAATTAAAATGATGTGATTTTAACAAAAATATGAATAATAATAACCACATCCTTTAGATGAGTCTTCGTTGAACTGTGGATGAAAATAACTACTTTTAATGTTTTGAATAGTAGATATTTTTTTCTTTTGAAATTATCGTTGGCTGAATCTGTTTAGTTTCTTTGATATTTTGCAGGGTCAAAGGGCCGTCGTCCAGGTACCATTAAAAATTTTTGACTAAAATTAATTAAAAGAAAATAATAATTTAAAATAAAATTATCAAGATGTAAAGTATTAAAACATCTAATTTTATTATAATTAATCAACATAAATTTTAGATTATTATTATGTTTTAAGATATTTAATACTCATATGACAGTAGAATTTTTCATTTACGTGATGTGCTTTTTAAAATTATACTAAACTTAATTATCTTTACTTATTAATTCATTAAATCTTTATATGAATTTAAATAAATAAAAATATATTATATTTTGTGAAATTTTTTAATTTACTTAAAAAAATAACGTCCCCTTAGCACTACATTACATAAATTATGTTGCTCCATCTTGATTTTTGTTAAATTCATAATATATATTATTAAAAGTTATTATACAAAATCTTCTCATAATCTCAATTATACTCTCAATTTCAATTTTAATGGTGAATCAGCATTAAAAAGTATTAAGAATAATACTCATAAGGAAATAGTAATTTTAAAAAGTACAAATACCTATAAAAATCTATATTAAATTAACTAAATAACATTATACCCTTGGTAAGTTAAATTAATTTATAATAAAAATATTAAAAGTTAAAAATTCATGTATTTTAATTTAGATTTTATATTAAAAATATAGTTCTAACACTGAAATTATTGCGCTACCCTTAACAAATAAACATAAACAAAGGTTTCATTAAAGGTATTTTAATCATTTCAATAATATATCTATATTTTCAATGTGTAATCTAATTTAAAAAATATTTTTTTTGTAAAATCTAAAATTATATTTATGAACCAAGAATATATATCTAAATAAAAAATAAAACTCAAAAAGAAAAAAGGTAAGACTCAATTGAAGAATGTTTACTTTATTAATTTTTTATTATTGAAAAATTCATATCACCCCTAACTTAATTTGCAAGAATGCCCCCAGAAAAAGGTTGTCAAAAGCCTCCCAAAAGCTCTCGTAAGTGCTGATGTTGATTGAGTATTTATAAGAAGGGTAAAAAACTTAATTGGAGTAAAAGTGGAACCCACGTCAAAATAACAGTAACTTAAGCGAACTTGTGGAAAACTTCCAAAGCGTCGACACCCCAAACTAAGGGACGATGGCTTACGCGCGAAACAAAGTCCTCGTCGGAATTTTGGCCTTTTAACTTTTAAGCAATTAGTTAATTGTCAATTTTAATCCTTCAATTTTATAGTTTTATGTAATTTTTATTATTAAATTTTTATATATTTTTTTATCTTTAAATTATAAAAAATATATTTTTTAATTTTTTTTATCAATTAATCTATTAAATTTATTCAAATATATTTTTTAATCCTTAATTTATAATGTATGCATATTTTTTTTACTTTAATTTAAGAATTTATGGATTAAAAATATATATTTATAGATAAATTTAACAAATTAAGGACCTATTTAATATAATAATTTAGGAGTAACAGTTAGTAAATTTACCCAAATTGCTATACAATAAGTGTTCACTAAATTTGATTATTCTAAAACCACTACAAACTAAATGTTTGATAAATTTTTTTATTTATTGGAACTATAATTTTTTTTTAATTTCTTTACTTAAAAAAATCTTTTTTCAGTTTTTAAAATTTAAAATTTGACCAACTTTTAATCATTATGTTATCTTTTTGTATAATTATCA